GAAGAGAGACTGGGCTGGCAGCCCAGCTCTGCCGGGGGTGTGTGTGTGTGGGGAAGCAGTTCTGTCCCTTCCTGGCTGGCAGCTGCAGTTACCTGCTCAGGTTCATGTCTGGGCTAGCCTGCCTGAGTACCACTGACTGGGGTAAGCAAAGGGAGCGAGGGGAGGAAGGGGGGCCTGGGGATGGGGTGTGGGGCCAGTGGAGGCAGCTGGGGCAATGGGGATGGGGGAGGCAATGAGGTCAGGGGCCATAGGGTGGATAGGTGGGGGACTGGGGGAGCTAGTGGGAGCTAGGGGGGAAGGGTGGGTGTCTGGGCGAGGCAGCAGGAGCCATGGCGTGGATGGGTGGAGGGTTGTGGGAGGCAGCAGGGTCCAGCAGGGATAGGGGATATGTGGGGAGCCTGGGAAGGCAGTGGGCTCAGGGGCAATGGGTGGGCATCTGAGGGGAGGCAGTGGGGCCAGGGGCCATGGGGTGGAAGGGTAGGGTGCTGGGGGAGGCAGTGGGAGCCAGGGGGGGAGGCAGTGGGAGCCAGGGGGGAAGGGTGGGCAACTGAGGGAGACAGTGAAGATATGGGCAATTGGGGATTTGGGAGGGGAGGCAGCAGGAGCCATGGGGTGGATAAGTGGGGGGCTGGGGGAGACAGTGGGAGCCAGGGGAAATGTGGGGTGGACAGGGGAGGGTGGGGGGCCACAGGGATAGTGGGGGGTGAGGGAGGCAGCAGAGGCCAGGGACCATGGACGGGGTCCTGGGGAGGCAGTGGGAGCCAGGGGAGATGGGGTGGGGACCCTGGGGAGCCAATGGGGGGGTCAGGGGGGCCAGGGGGATGGGGAGGGCTGGCGGTCCAGGGGAGATATCAGGAGTGGGGGGGCTGGAGGAGGCTGACCTTAAGGGTGGGCGGTCTTGCCGTGATCAAGGGGGCACCATCGTCAAGAGGCTGTTGCTGGAGGCTCTTTTGGCAGTCACCAGGAAGTTGACCAAGGCTGTAATCGGGGGCTGCCGTTGTGTCCCCCACTATCAGCAGTTACCAGTCGCCTAAGTTAAGTGTCAATGTTGACACAAGAACCAATGGATATAAAGTGGCCATCGACAAGTTTAGATTTGAAATTAGACAAAGGTTTCTAACCATCAGAGGAGTGAAGTTCTGGAACAGCCTTCCAATGGGAGCAGTGTGTGGGGGCAGGGAACACAAACTGGCACAAAATAAACACAAACTTGCTTTAAAGCAAGACTGAGCTTGGTAAATTTATGGAGGGGATGATATGATGAGATTGCCTACAATGGCATGTGGCCCATCTGCGATTGCTAGTAGAAAAAATCCCAACGTCTGGAGATGTGGCACTGGATGGGAAGGGCTTAGAGTTACTACAAATTCTTTCCCAGGTGTCTGGTGGGTCTTGTCAACATGCTCAGGGTCTAACTGATCACCATAGTTGGGGTTGGGAAGGAATTTTCCTCCAGGTCAGAATGGCCAAGACTCTGGGAGTTTTTCACCTTCCTCTGCAACATGGGACATGAGTCACTTGCTGGTTTAAACTAATGTAAATGTTGGATTCTCTGTAACTTGAAATCTTTAAATCATGATTTGAGGACTTCAGTAACTCAGCCAGAGGTTAGGTGTCTATGACAGGCGTGAGTGGGTGAAGTTCTGTAGCCTGCAATGTGCAGGAGGTCAGATTAGATGATCATGATGGTCCCTTCTGGCCTTAAAGTCTATGAGTAGAATTTGGCCCACAGGGCTACCAAATTTCAGCCTGAAACAGGCTTTATTTTGCTTTGCATTTCAATGCCAGGCAGTGAGGACGTCTAAGGGCGATGGCCACAGATTACAATCCCTGGAAGGAAATCTAAAATAGTTTTTCCCCTTCTTAAAAGTTGAGCTTTTTCCTTTTGTCTTTTCCCATAAAATGGGTGACTGGTAACAGTCTTCATCAAGAATCACTATATTTTAACCTTCTTTCAAAATGCTTATAAATATCTTTGGCATTCAACAAGAAAATATTGTGCTACATCAAATGGGAACTATACTTTAGAGGCATATTGGAGAAACCCATAAAAATAAATTGATAAGAAAAACAGGTGTGGGCCATTGAGAGGTGTGCGTGGCCCTATCCTCCTGAGATGTGTCTGACACCGGTATGGCTGTTGTACAGTGTTAATTAGATCATTCTAATTAATTCAGTCAAAGTGTAAATTAGGAAGGAATGAAGAAAAATTATCTTTGAAGGCTGCTAATACATTTAACCCCATGCTGTTTATTTAGCAGTCTAACAAAATAATGATGTTAAGAGTCTAACAAGGCACCAGACCAGGACACAGCTGTTAATAGCATTAAATATGAGATTGCAGTCTGTGCTGCAGGCACGTACGCCTGGTCTGTGTTTTCAAAGGTTTTCCAGTACAGCTATATCAGCAGACCCTGCTAGTGTAGATGTGGTACATACTGGCAAAAAAAGTCCTGTTTCTGGTGGTGTTTATACCATTGCCCTGGGTGAAATAAGCTATGCTAGCAAAAGGACTTTTTTTTGCCAGTATGAACCACATCTACACTAAAAGTGTGTTGCTAAACAAGTTTAGTTAAAATGGTGCAACTTCTGTGAGTGGATGAGGCCTGAGTTGAGGATGGACTGACAGTATGGCCAACCCCAAATGTTCAAAAATCCAAAGCTCCTTCAAGTCAATGGGAGACTTTCCAATGACTTCAGCGGGCACTGGATCAGGCTCTTGGTTTCTAGGCTACAGCATCTTTTACAAGAAGTCGCTTACTCTGCATGAGTTCTGAGAAATTCACATACCCAAACAGGCTTTAAACGTATTTTATTACATACAGATGTGCAATATCTTAACATCTCTGTATCTCTTGTGCCTAATTTCATAATTTAATTTTGTATTTAAAAAACAGAACAAAACTGTGTAACAAATTACCCTTTCATTTGCTCACCACTGCACCATTTTTTATTTCCATATGCATGCCCCTCGGCTCTCTAGAATTCCTCATGATGTGCTCCTGCTGTAAATTGATTGTGTGCATATCTGTATTCTATGGAGTATTTTGAATCCAGACACGTACATGAAAAAGGAAACAGGAAACAGGTCTTATGAATTGGCCATTGGATAACATTTCTTTCATTGGTTTCAGAATAGCAGCCGTGTTAGTCTGTATCTGCAAAAAGAAAAGGAGGACTTGTGGCACCTTAGAGACTAACAAATTTATTTGAGCATAAGCTATGTAAATCTCCCCACTGTATTTTCCACTGAATGCACCCGAGGAAGTGAGCTGTAGCTCACGCAAGCTTATGCTCAAATAAATTTGTTAGTCTCTAAGGTGCCACAAGTCCTCCATTTCTTTCATTGTGAAGAAAGAATGAACTTCCCAAACTGATCTATCCAGAGAGCTTAAAGTCATTTCCATTTTCTTTCTGTAGCTATTAGAGACCATTAAAAAAACAAAACAAACAAAACCCCAAAATAAATGCCACCCCCAAATCTCCTTACATATTTTGGTAACAAGTTTGACGAACTTTATGACAGTATCAGATTTCTTATCTACTAAAATGTAGTGAGTTGCTCAGTGTCTTTATATAATATTATTGTATGCTTAGATGTTTATTTTTAAAATCAGCCTTCTTGCCCATTATTTTTTTCCGTTTTGCTAATTGGCGAATAATTAAAGTCAGGCCGAAGTTTGCGATGCTCAATTACTTTACTGTATAAGCGCTAAGCGATAAAACTAAAAAGGCTTAATGAAAATGCAATCACAACCGAATGTTTTATCTCAGCAGACAGAAGGAACCCCAGCGTACAGTTCCTCTGAGCACTGTAGTTTGCTTTGAATCCTACGCTGCTGGCTATTGGTTGAGAAACACGTGGAGGGGGTGGAGGAAGACGCATTGCCAGCAGTAGAAACTGGCCACTTCCACTCGCATAAGACCGAGAGGGTGCCGTAGTGTTCCTAGGTCAGTAGCAGATGCTTCCAGCGCCGAGCCTGGTTTTTCTTCCAGGGAGGAAGATCCTAGCAGGCTCCAGATGGAGTTGCCAACAGCTGCTTTGTTCCGCTCCCAGCTCACTGAACTAGCTTTATCATCGCACAGAGAAGCATTTAAAGACAAAACAGTTCTGCCTCGCTTTTCGCTTCGCTTCCTAAAGCCTGGCTTCCCACGTGTGATGGATTCACCCTGTTCCCTTGCATTGCATTAGCCTGGGGAATTTCTGCACAGTTAAAAAGCTCTGTGACATGCCTTATTATTTCTGCAAATCACAGCTTAAGCCTTTTTATATGTAATCAGATCTATGATGGGTTTTTCTCAGCGTGGTCTACCCGGGCTCCCTGTAACATATATTTGAGTCCATCTCATGTAGCTCATCTCTTAAAATACACCTCATAGCACATCTCCTCCGTTAGCGTCTGTAGCATTTTGCAGATCGACGCTGTCTCATTCCTTCGGTGCGGAGACACGAGCTCTCCGGTGGCGGGCGTGTCCCTGCGGTGTGCCAGGCAATGGAGACTGCCTGCACCGATGCCTGGGCAGAGCTCAGCCCCGGACGCTGGAGGAGCCACCTTTGGCTCCTCATTGTCTGAGGAGGCTGGAGAGGAGCCCGTGCCCCGCAGAGCTGTCCGAGGGAGATGGGAGGTGTGGCCCTTGCTGAGTGCACTGGGATCCACCGGGCTGCTGAGGACGTGGGGAGGGAGACGGTGGGCTCCGGCTCTGCGCGGGGGCTGGCCTTCCTCACTAGGGACACTGGGCGCACATGTCGCGCGGCTCCTCCTGGGGCCCGGGCTGGGCGAGGTGCCCCAACCCTGCCGCGGAGCCTCTTCCCTTTGTGTCCCTCCCCGCGCTGGCCCATGTGACAGCATTGCTTGCAGCCTCCCCGCGGCTCCGTTAACTCGCGTCCTCCTCCCCCGCCCCTCCCCTCCCCTCCCCCGTGTGTCACTCAGCCTCTTTGCATATGTGCCCCCCACCCTCCCGGCCGCAGCCCATATACCCGCTTCCCCGCGCCGCAAAGCGCAGCAGCCGGCGAGCGGCCGCCTCCCGCAGCAGCAACAGCGCCTCCGCCTCCGCTCCGCGCACGCGCTCGCCCGGCCCGAGTGCGGCTGCCCGCGGCTCTCCTGCCCCCAGCCCGGGCTCCAGTGGGGAGGCACCGCAGCCGCCCGGCGCGGCCCGGCAGGAGAAGGGAGGAAGGAGCGAGCCGGAGGCTGCTGGCCGCCGGGGAAGGGGCGGGACGGGACAGGCTCCTGCCGCCTCTCGCCTGCCCTGAACAGCGGCCGTGAGACAGGGGGGAGCCCGGCGCCGCGGCTGTAAGTTCCTGCGCGCTGACCTGTTGCGGGGGGGGCCGGGCGGGCTGGCGGGGGCTGCCGGTCCGCGGGCGGGTGTTCGGGCAGCACTCGGGGCTGGGGCAGCAGCTCTTCTCTCCCTGCTGGCGGGGCGCTCCTGGCAGGACGCGCGTCTGCGTCCCCAGCCCCGGGAAGGGGGAGGCTGTGGGGAGGGGAGGACTGCGCTAGGCTCCCTCTCTCCCTTCGCAGGGGTCGCCCTGAGTCTCACTCCAAAGCGAAGCGAGCCGGGTTCTGGACCCGTTGCCACGGACAGCCTTGCGGGCGGCTGAAAAGGTGCATTGGCAGGGAGCGCACCCCGCTCCCCCCCCCCCCCCCAGCTTAGCAGACTTCGTGCAACTTGTTCCCTGCATAAATCAGCTGGCGGGCTGATTGTCTGTGTTGCAAAATGAAGCACCACTGCACTGAGGCTGTTAAGTTGGGAGATATTTTCATCTCGCTGTCAGGGCGCATTTTCAGCAGCCTCATAGCTTTTTTTACTATACACATGAACTGAGTCTGTGTATCGATCTCTAATTGAATATTGAACGACTGTGTGGGCTTGATGGTAACATCAGATCACGCAAATGATAGATTCTGTGCATTAGTAAGCATCCTGTGTTCACTCCTGGAAGCAGGTCCCGCTGTTTGTGCACCATGTGCCCATTGCAACCTTTTGAAGGAAAATGCAACACTGGTGGATAGTATTTCTGGTATGTGGCTGTCTTTGGCAAATAGAAACACTTAATACTAGATACTAACCTTAAATATTGATTTATTGTAGTTTCCTTTTCAAATTTCTCAAATGACTAATTTGGAAAATACACATAAGAAATATCAGTTGACTTTTTTAATAAGTCTGAGTAACCAGAATTTGAATGACCATGGACTTTACCACTTTCAGAATCAAAGGCAAAACCCATTTCTTCTATTCTTTCTTTTAGGAAGTTTTTCATACACAACCAATACAATGCTCATTTACACAAAGATAAAACAGAAATCTGTATAAGCTAATTAAGTTATTTCTTCTGCAGGTTGGGAAGAAACAGATACTATTGCTGATTTGAAATACTGGGGAGGTGTTCGGATACTACATTGAAGGGGAGCAACATATAGGCACGTAGGTACATAGGTGTGTACAATCACAGTCATTTTGAAATGGTCTGCATTTGGCAAAAAAAAACCCAGGAACTGTACAAAAAATTAATGCATGATAAGTGATAGCCTGATTTACACTTCATGTAACTTCTGTGCAATGGGTTATACTGTGGAGTGTTAGAGAGGGGCTGGGCATCACTGCAGACTTAGCAGCTGAGAAAAGGATCAATTCATGCAGTGGGTAGTCGTGAAACGGTGATTTTTTTCCCAAGTATCTCACTGGAGAACCGATGAGATTATAGTGTTCTGAGAGGAAGTTTTATCTTGTACATAATAAATGTGCAAATAACTGAAAACACTTTAAAAAGAATTTATTTGACTGAGCTGAGATCTTCAAAATCTAAAGCTGTTAAGAAGTAGGGCAAGAGGTTGTTGAACATTGTGTACTACCAGATTTGAGGTTGCTGTGACAAGTAGCTGGTTGAAGTACATCATAAATCATCCCTTGCTTCAATGTCTGTTTCATTAGTGATTCATGATAAATATAGATTTGTCTTTTACTGACCATTTGTCCTTTATATTCAAATGTGACTGTTTCTAAGGAAAAATTGCCTGACGGGAGTTCACTCATTTTATTCAAGATGAACACTTGCTCAGTGACTGTGAATTACCTCTGCTGAAAGGTTTGAGGCTTGCATAATTTGCAGAAACAAATAGAGAAATCAGAGATGTCTGTCTGAATATTTTTGTAGTTTTGAATATACTTATTAACATTTTGGCCCAAATTGCATTCTCAACCATCACAAACCACATTTATTCACAAAAACACTGCTAGTAAATTATAAGGAATCCTTTTTAATGGTAGTTTGCCTCTACATATTGACTTGTAGAACAACTCAAACCCTAATGTGGGACTTGAGGGGGAAGATGTACAAATGCAGTGTGTATCTTTGTTTTGTTTGAGGAAGTATGTTTAGCTTCCTAAAATGTGACTTGCCACACCTTGAATTCTTCTAAAGAGGCAACTTTAGAATGATACAGGTAATGATTTTGTTAAGGTTTGCTAAAGAGGAACAAATATGAATACTGCAAGTCATTAATAAAAAATGGCTTTGGTCACTGAAAGATCAGACCTTGTCTTTTAGGATATTGCTGTGTGCAAAACAGAAATGACCGGTGAAACCCTGAACCTCCCTATGCCACAAAAGTCTCACAGTGGTTTTTATCTTTTTGCAGCTGAGATCAGTATTTCTTGGTAGGGCTGTGGGTGGGCTTGGGCAACATGCAGTGATCTGCACTTTCCTACCTCTGTCCTACCCCTCTGCATAGGGTCTGTAGTTTCACCATTCTCAAACATAGGGATAACTCTAGTTTCTTAGCTCTTATTTTGTGTTCAGGACCTGATCCTGCATGGTTCTGTGCAGCCACAACTTATGAGAACTCACAGCACCACTCTGGATCAGAACACACCTATATTTCCAAGGTTTGAACTTTTCTTTATCAATGCTGCTGTGATTTTTTTTTTAATTATTATTATTTAGTGCTGAGTGCTGTTGGTATGCTTAGCATTGCAGCAGTACATAGCGGGATACATAGTCCCAGATGCAAAGAACTTGCAATCAAAGACTCCATCCTGCAGTGAATATCACCCAGGGGGGATCCCTGTGTCTGCTTGGTCCCCCATTGACTTAACTGGGGATGCCCAAGAGTGCAGGGATCTGTCCACATGTAGCTCGTGTTAGGATGAGCACCTAAGGTCCTAATCCTATAAAACGCTAAATGCTGCCTGGGGATGTTGAGTGCCTGCATCTCCCACTGACTTCAGAGACTGGAAGCTGAGGTGGCTCCACACCCCACAGGAGGCACTCAGCCTCTTGCAGGATTGGGCCCTACATGTGAGACAGACCAATCCAGAAAAACATACAGAATGTTGTGTATTTGAATCATAACAACTTATGAAATAACAAAATCCTGTAACGGTTTTAAAATCTGACTCCACAATGTTTGCCAAATGGGGGTTGATCTTCCCACTTTTGCATCTAAAGTGTTGATGCACCAATACGCAGAGCCATGATCCTCTGTGTAATTCTGTAGCCACAACAAATCTGAAATTGAGGCGCATGTTCAGTTTAACCTTTGGCAAGAGGGTAAATGGGTACATTTAGTCCTGGATTAGTGTATGTGACCCTTGAATGTCCTCTGAATGATGATTATTTGTCAGGTAATGCAATTATATATAATGGGTATTGCAATTATACTTACCATGTAAAAGTAGTTGCATGCATTTTAATAGCATACTTGGCTACTTGTACTGTGTTTACAGTTACTGCAGTTAACCTAAAACATTGGTCTAAAGTGCTTTGTGCAGCTCATGTTTTCAGTCACATTGAAGAGGGCTTGATCTAAACCTTATCGAAGTAACTGAAAAGATTCCGATAGATTTTAGTGGGCTTTGGATCAGGCCTGATAAAGACAAACACTGTGTATTTCCCATGTTGCTCCTTCTTTAAAGTCCTGATGATAATCATTAGGAAATTAAGTTCCAGCTTAAAAGAAAGAGGTTGCAGTATTTTGGTGCTTATTTGAGCAATACCATGAAGTCAAAGGCAAATCACAAACTTCCTATTGTCTGTGATATGCCATTTGTGCAGAGCTATGCCATACTGCTGCTTGCTTGGAGCAGAGCACAGGTTATTTGGTATGCAGCAATCCATGAGCAGGTGTATGAGAAGTCTATAATTTCGCAGATATAAATGTAATATTATTAAATGCTGGAAAAATCAGGTTTTTATTCTGTTGTGAGTTCTAGCCTATGATTTCCAAAAGAATGAAAGGAATATTGTATTGATTTTTAGAATGACATACAGACCTCTGAGGCTATTCAGATTCTTACATAGTCTCTTTATCAGAGCACTGGTCTGAGGGCAATGGGCAAAGTTTTCCTCTAAAAAACATGAACCTTGTGGAAATGGAATGATGTCTTAATTAGCAGCATAGAAATATATGTTCAGGAATATAAATGGGGAGGGGAATTTCATGGTAATCAGAGAAGCTGAACTCCTTCACCAAACCTCTTCCCCACCACCATCTATCCAGGCTGTAGAGCACCAGTGAAGCTGTTCCATGATGGCAGCCCCTGGTCTGCAGTAACTTCTGTGGATGCTGTTAATCTGTCACACCTCCACTGCCCACCTGTGTGATTTGGTCAATGGATCTGTGTAGATGCAAATCTAGAGCCCGTGTCCCTGATATGTCCCCATAGCACACATCAGTTCAGTTTCATTCAGGGCCAACCACTTGCCTTACTTAATCCAGAAGATTGGCCCATACAAAATATATAAACTTGCAAATGGTTGGAAGGGACCATGGAGGGCAGTTGAATCCTTCCAAGGTCACATATAACTTTTTTCCCTTAAAATGGGAGCAGAACAGCCCTGGTTTTGAAAGGATGGGGTAGCAATGTAGAATATTCTTTCCTCCCACCCCCAAACCAACAACTGCAGACTCTTGTGCTCTGAGAGCCTAACTCAGGGGGACTGCAGAATAGCAGTCCTGCATTGATATCAGCAGACAGTACAATCGCGTTACCCTGCCAAGACTGTACGCATATACTGTCACCCAGTAGCAGGATTCCACTGGAGATATTCAAGATGTAGATCTCTATAATATTTAGCCATGATATTGTAATAAAGCTTTGGTCATGTAACAATATCCTTGCAATGTTATCTGTCTCTGTCGTATCTTTCCCACTCCCTGCTGTTGGATATGGAACCATTATATCAAAAGAAATCATCAAAATGGAATGAGTACCTTCTTGTTCTCCCATGCAGTTTTTTTACATTCCAAGAGGTATTCTCAGCTCTTCCTACTATGATTCAAAGCAGGAGAATGTTTCAAGTGTGTTTGAGTGTGTGTATGTGATGAATCAGCTGTGCTACACTGGGAGGGGTGAGAAAATCAGCTCTCGGTCCTTATTTTTCCTCTGTCTTCCTTGCCTACTATTGTCATGAAAGTTGGAGATCAGGTTTCCCAAGGTAAACCTGCTCTTGGGCAATAATAGTGGGGCATGTCATTTAAGAAAGTTATCGGGGAAAAAAATAAACATACACTGAAGTAGATACAATTCTTTGTCCTCTCATGTCTATAATAGGCTCAGAGCAGTCTTCCTGCTTACAATCATTATCAGGGATGCATATAATTGTTTTTAATTAAAAGAGGTATGTCATAAACATTTGTCATGAGAACCCTTAATCTTATTTAATTTTTGTTTATTTTTAGGTGTGGCAGAAAATGTCAGTCAGCATGCATGAGAATCGCAAGTCTAGAGCCAGCACTGGCTCTATAAACATATACTTATTCCATAAATCATCATATGCTGATAGCGTCCTTACTCACCTGAACCTTCTGCGCCAACAAAGGCTTTTTACAGATGTACTTCTCCATGCTGGCAACAGGTCATTCCCTTGCCACAGAGCTGTCCTAGCTGCATGTAGTCGCTATTTTGAAGCAATGTTCAGCGGTGGACTTAAAGAGAGCCAGGCTAGTGAAGTCAATTTTCATAATTCTATTCATCCAGAAGTTTTAGAACTTCTGCTGGACTATGCGTACTCCTCCAGAGTTATCATCAATGAAGAGAATGCAGAGTCCCTGCTAGAGGCTGGAGACATGCTAGAATTCCAGGATATCAGAGATGCTTGTGCAGAGTTTCTGGAGAAGAACCTTCATCCCACCAACTGCCTTGGCATGCTGCTGCTGTCAGATGCTCACCAGTGCACCAAGCTTTATGAACTCTCTTGGACGATGTGTCTTAGCAACTTCCAAACCATCAGTAAAAGTGAAGATTTTCTCCAGCTGCCAAAAGACATGGTTGTGCAGCTCCTTTCCAGTGAAGAACTAGAAACTGAAGATGAAAGATTAGTATATGAGTCAGCTATTAACTGGGTTAACTATGATCTGAATAAGCGCCACTGTTATCTCCCTGAACTATTGAAAACTGTGAGACTGGCTCTCTTGCCAGCCATCTACCTTATGGAGAATGTAGCCATGGAAGAACTTATCACTAAGCAAAGGAAAAGCAAAGATATAGTAGAAGAAGCAATAAGATGCAAGCTAAAGATCTTACAGAATGATGGTGTGGTCACCAGTTTGTGTGCCAGACCTCGTAAAACTGGCCATGCACTGTTTCTTCTGGGGGGCCAAACCTTTATGTGTGACAAGCTGTATCTGGTGGACCAAAAGGCAAAAGAGATCATTCCAAAGGCTGACATCCCAAGTCCACGGAAAGAGTTCAGTGCTTGTGCTATTGGCTGCAAAGTGTATATCACTGGAGGTCGGGGATCAGAAAACGGAGTCTCCAAAGATGTTTGGGTGTATGACACTCTTCATGAGGAGTGGTCAAAGGCTGCCCCCATGCTGGTAGCTAGGTTTGGGCATGGTTCTGCTGAACTCAAACACTGTTTGTATGTAGTAGGAGGACACACAGCAGCAACTGGTTGCCTTCCAGCTTCCCCTTCAGTATCCTTAAAGCAAGTAGAACAGTATGACCCTGTGACCAACAAATGGACAATGGTTGCACCACTTCGAGAAGGAGTAAGCAATGCAGCTGTAGTTAGTGCAAAGCTTAAGCTATTTGCTTTTGGTGGCACCAGTGTTAGCCATGACAAGCTGCCCAAAGTTCAATGTTACGATCAATGTGAAAATAGATGGACAGTACCAGCCACCTGCCCCCAGCCCTGGCGCTACACAGCTGCAGCTGTTTTGGGTAACCAGATTTTTATTATGGGTGGAGATACTGAATTCTCTGCATGCTCAGCTTATAAATTCAACAGTGAAACATACCAGTGGACTAAGGTGGGAGATGTGACAGCTAAGCGAATGAGCTGCCATGCAGTAGCATCTGGAAACAAACTATATGTAGTGGGAGGCTATTTTGGGATTCAAAGATGCAAAACATTGGACTGCTATGATCCCACATTAGATGTATGGAACAGCATAACCACAGTGCCCTATTCACTAATTCCCACAGCATTTGTCAGCACATGGAAACACCTCCCCTCATAACTGTGTGTGTGTTGCGATTGCAGCTTGCCAGGTAAGAAAATAGACTTATGAATACAAATATAATAGTACTTAGCACTCACAGTGCTTTACATCCACAGATCTCAAAGGAGGGTAAGTAAATTATTTGTATTTTACAGTAAGGAAAACTGAGGCACACAGCTGTTAAGTGACTTGTCCAAGGTCATGCATCAAATTCGTGGCCGAGCCAGGAATGGAACCCAGATTGCTTGGCTCCCCGTACCATGCTCTCTTCACTGGATTGATCACTTTGCCTCCCAGTTTAGATGTTGAATATGTTATTTCCACTAGGTCTAATGCTGATGGGAAAATATAGTTTAATTATGACAAATTCAGTTATAAATCATTAACCTACTAGGGATAGGTGGTGTTTCCTTAACTATACAGAACTGGTCAATCAACATGAGAACCTAAAAAGACTTCTGTTAACCCTCTAATCATGAGCTGCAGCAGGGTGGTGACTCGGTCCAAATGGACAGCTCTCTGTTTGTGTGAACAATCTTGCTGCAGCTGCATTGTTACCAGTGGATATGTAAGGTGTTGCACAAACACACTGGGTCAAGTCAACCCTTCTGCAACAGCTGAAGTAAATGGAATTGCACCTGCTTATGCTAATTTTGAATTGGGCCCATTAAATATACTTTTAAAGCACTTGTTTTTCAAAGGAAAGTTGTGTTTATATGTCTGACTATATATAATGTCACTCCAATATACCAGTAATACTGTGGTTCAAATAATTACTTGGCAGTGTTTCAAAGCAAATGCAGTCTCATTTACAGTTAAGCATTATGGGCCAAACTCACACCACGTGCAACTTCTTACAGGCAAGTCTAAGTTTGGCCTTGCTTGTTTTGCTGGTTATGTGGCTCCACTTTTTTACTTTTTGTTTCTTCTTCATTTGGAAAACCACTAAAATATCTGAGCAGCCCAAAATATTGTCAGTTTATAAACAAAACAGAGTTAACTTGCTAGCCATTGTCTTAAACTAAATCTGATTTTTCATTATTCCCCCCCCCCAATATTTTCCTGAATTGCATCACTTAAGTCTCTGATATTTTCTAGAGTTCTTACTTGAGTTATTTTGCATTAAAACGTACAAATACTATGCTTTAGTGTGTGTTGCTCAGTTTTTTCTGAGAGACTGCAATGCAGCATTGTGGCTACAAACACATTTTGATGGCATGTTTAACCCTCAGAAGCACCCTTTGTTGCTTAAATGAGCCATGCCTTGTGAGTAGTAATTTCTTAAGGGATTTGAATACTGCATAATGTAACCATAAAACCAGCCAGGTTGCAAAAAACTATTGAAGGAAAAACAGTTTAAAATAATTAAATCAGCTTTGCAGTAACCTAGAACCTCCAGGTCAAAGTAGATACCTCAGAAAGATAATGATACCAGTCTGCTTTTATAGACTTCATAGCATCTAGCTCTTCAGAAGGGTCATGTTGACAGGATTTTATTGGCAACTGGACTACAAGGAGATGGCTGGCTGGCTGGCTCCTGCAATAAATAGCAGGACACCCGATTGTCCTTGTAACAGGGTAAATCTGATAATTTGGGGATCATTGTGGAATTTTTTCACCCAGTGGTGTGCTGAGGCCTCATCTTGCTGTTTCCCCTTGAGCTGAATAGGAATTTTGACTAAGTAAGAAGTGCATTTTTGGGCCACCGCAGAGTAACAACTCAGAGGTGAAATCTAGTAGGAAATGTAATGAGGTCATGTTTTCAATGACACTTTGGTCTTTGAGTTGAATAACCACCTGTAACTTTTCCATCTCCACCCACAACTTAGTCTTAGAAAAACAGAGTTTTGGATTCCATCCAACGTTTGCAAACATTGGAGACTGATCATATCCTGGGTATCTGAGACTAATCACACACTTCCGATAACTCAAAAACTGAGCAAATAGGCTTCTTTGAGACTACTTCCTTGCTAGCCGGAAAGCTGGGAACACATCTTTAAATCCATACCATTCAACCAGTTTCTATTATTACTCATTTCAGCAGGGCTCAGTGTTATCAGAACAGTAGTAACGAATGGCCAAACTCAGGATCTGTGCCAAGAAAAATACTGACTTTTATTTTCCTAAGATTGACTTCATTGTTCTAAAATTTACAGCACATAGAAACAGAGGGGTTTTTTTCCTGAAAAATAGTAGTCCGAATATAATGGCACTAAAGGCTTTCATTTGCTTTGCGATATCCTGTTAAAGGCCATTACTTTAGCCTCACTAGCCTGTAAGATAACGGGATGAATGCAACCTCTAGTGCGGCATGCTCATCTAGCCAGTAGATTTTTACTGACTCCCACTGTTCTGTCAATGGGTGGGAGGGACAAGAAGGAAATTACTTCTGATTATCCTCTGTTTTCATGGTGTTGTGTGGCCTCAGCCTGCCGCAGCTTAGGAAGATTTTAGTCTGCTTTGTTTCTTCCTTCAAACTTTGCTCTTTTGAGTAGGTTTAGTTTTATTTTCTCCTTGCAAGAGTTATTTTTTTTTTCTTTTGGTTAATCATCCCATGACAGGAAACATAATTTTTGGCCTCAGTGTTGAGATATACCTTTCAAGAAGGGAAAAAATGACACACTAGTCTGAAGAATGTCTAGGTGACGCTAATCAGCAATAAGAAATGGCAAAAAATTACACTGGAAATAATGAAAAGGGTCTGTCTTAAACCCACAAAGGCAAAGAGATTTCAGGCTAAGGCTGTGAGTATACCCGGCTGTTCTTGGGCATTGCGGCACTGACCATATAGGGCTACAGTCTGCTCTCCTGCACATATCTGTGTTCGTTCAGATTAACTACATTGGCTTCAGAAGAGTTACTCTGCATGTGCACCCTAAATTCCCGCTGTGCTATTTAAAGCTACTGTAATAATGAGGCTGGTGTCTGGTTTGGAAACTTGCACTTAACATAGGCTTCATAATTAAATATGGTAGCCAAATCTCAGGATCCAAGGGCTATATTTTTCACTGAATAATCAGCTCCTGGAAAAGACTCCCGTGTGGAGTTGTTGAGGCATGGTGCATTGTCATGTGAAAAGAAGCGAGACAGATTTCTGCCATAATGAATAGCGGAGAAGTTTTAAATAAGGGGATTAATATGTCCACTTTCTCTATGGTGAATAAATTCAATTTAGAGTTCTTCATGGTGAACAGAGGAGAACCCAGCCTCCCGGCTCCCTCCCAGCTCTTTCTTCAACATCAGTCTGCTCTAGTTCAGTAGGGCCCATGAGCAGAATAAACTGGTTGCCCTAATAATTTTTGAGGCTTTTCTGGAAGAGAGAAGTTGCATGAGGTTGTTTTCATTTTTTTTTTAAGCTTATTCCTACCCCATTTGTTGAGAACAGGAAAAGCAGTGTGTTGCAAAAACAGCACTATCGACCAAATGCTATTTAACCTTTTATTTTATAAGGGTCAGATTCACACAGAAGTACAACTCTACTCCATGGCTAGTCCCTATTGGAGTCTCTGGGACTGCTTGCAGAGTGAGGCCAGGCAAGTAAAGAAGGCAGAATCTGACCTAAATGTTGTGGTTGGTTTATTTACTATCCATGATTAGTTATTACACAGAGATGCACAAAAGGCTTTTAGTTTTTCTTTGACATCTAATGAAAACCTTATTGCTTTATTGTATATTGTCTCATGAGAATCCTGTAAATCTTTTCTTCTCCCCCTCCTTTTTTTTTTTTTAGTTTGCTCTGTTAGTTGGAGAAGAGACTTGGAATCTCAGCTACGGAGAAATGGTTTTAATGAAGAAAAATTGTTCAGAGTCTTTGAGTTTGAAGAAAAATATCTGCACCTTGTAAATTATCTAACCTGGACATGAAGGAATGGGAGGAAAAAACTGTCTTTGGTGCATCAGCACATGGTTTAAATATGAAAGAATGAACCTATGGTCTGATTCCTTGCACTAGTAATAGTGGATTAATGTCAGTGTTAATCAGACCTTAAAGGGAGGGGATGGGGAAAAGGAAAAACAAAAAAAGTCCAGAACTTTCCAAAACTGCAACCTACAACTCTTGATTTTCATGGACTCCATTGTGTGTGTGTGTGAAATTTGAAATGGTTGTCACCTCTCCCTGTGACAGTTTGACGTGTCGGCACCAGCTGCCAGGGAAGCAGGCCAGGTCTGAAACAGTGAGATGTCGCGTGAATGAAGATACAGCTGTGTCACTGCAGAGTACTGCTGCAGGAATGAACTTGTTTATAGGCAGTGTCTGAAGAATCCATTCGATTGTCCTATCTGCAGTGAGTGACCCTTCATTGGCTAAGGAACAGCACAATTAAAAAATAAAAGGTTTTTGCAATAGTGGGGGAACTAAAAAGAACTCATTTTCCCCAAATGTTTTCTTTCCCTTCCTCCCTGTATTTATAGGTGACTTAAACTGTCCCATTCCTGTTATGTTACTTGTAGATGTAGCTATTTATTGTTCAGTGCTTGCATGCTGAAACAATGCCTGCAGTTGTCTTCATGTTGTAAGGATTTGTGTGATTTGTTGTTTGTTTTGCACATTTTGTGGTCTCTGACTCACTCTGCTGCACACAAAAAAGAAAACTGTTGAATAATAGTTGGAGGTGGGAGCGAGTGATGGGATGGCTTCCTCAGTCAGAAATGGAAGGATTACAAGGCAGGATCTTAAATTACACACATACTAAAGGAAGAAGCCATGGAGGTCACTTTCTCAGGCCACCAACTCCCCAGGTTAGATGTGGTTTATCCTGTAGATAGCGTCCCTGCTCCTTTTCATTGGCCAGTTTATGCCTTTCTATTTCTTATCTGGAACTAGCCAAAACTATAGACAGCTTTCTCTTTGTGCAGCTTCTCAATTACCTAGAAGATGCTGTGGGATGGTTTCTGTACAAAGAGCCCCAAGAAAGGCATTGGCCAAAAAGTTATTTATTTATTTATTTATGAGTTTAGACTATGGGACGTTTACCATAACTACATTTACCTGACTGAGTGGAGTCTGGCTGACTCACAAAAACAGAATAGATTAGTAGTGAACTAGTTAAAAAACAAAACAAAAAACCAACAACTTGCACTGACAGGATTGGCTCCTCTCTCTGCACGGAAGTGGGATGAATGAGTGCCATGGTGTCAAAGACCCGAAAGGTGTGGCACAATTGTTACGATGAAGCATGAAAAATTGCAGAACTAGAACTTAAAAATAATCCTCAAACTCTGCTGCATCTTTTATTTTCACACAGCCCAGAGATGAGTCTTCAGACACTTTGGTATTGAGAAATGTCAAATATAATCATGATAAACCAAAGGATTAAAAAAAGAATGCCCATTTTATTTGCTCAGTCTAGTCTTGAGTCGGGTATGAACCCATTCATTTCTTCTTCTGTTTCACAGGTGCTTTCCTTGCCAGATTTCACTGTGAAGCACATGTTGTGTTTTTCATAAGTCTGTTGAGCCCAACATAATAATGATGTGGTCAGCAACATGGTGGTAGTATTCTGCTGCAGCATAAGTAAAAGATTCTTAGTTGCATGCATGCAAAAACAAAAGTGATAATGTTGATGTTTGCATTTCTCTCTATGATGGTGAAGTCACTGTGCTCTTGAAGCTTACCATCTGAAAATGCGTACAGTGATCACCCTTAAATTTTTCTCACAAGGGAAGAATTTTTAAACGGCGACCCAAGGTTTGACATGAACAGGACTCCATAACTGTGTAGTAAATGAGTTACAGCTGTAGTTCCACTAGGTTAGGTTGAGCTGTTGAAGTGTTAAAACATCAGTCCCCTTCTTCTACATGGCTTTAAACGATAGACATGCTTCTTAGGTAGAGCACCTTCCTATAAGCCCGAGTTGCCCCAGTAAAGTAAATGGGCTGGATTCTCCATTGCCTTGTAGGTTGGATAGTTATTCACACCTGTGCAATGTGGGTGTAAAATGCTCCCAAATCCAAATAGTCACGTTTTACCTCCTCCTCGCACGGGCGTCTGTGGCTACACAAGTTACAGGGAAGTGAACTGTTGGGTCCAATGAGACGACTCATTTGACTAAAGGTATATCTGATCAAGCCCTCCGTTTTCTTTATTGAACGAAGGGATATATATAGTTCTGTCTTGAAGCCGCACCGTACATTGCTATTTAGCTTCTGACAAAAATCTGTTTTCTAATACCATGTAACTTCTGAAAGTGGGATGAATTTTCTGCAGCTGTTTTCAAAGTTGTGGTGTGCTTTCAACTGCTTGATTAATTCCTCTGTGTAGGCTGAAGGAAACTGAAGTCAGGGTGGGCCTCAGGCCCTGCAGGGAATATTCTGGGCTTCTGCTCTTTGAATTGATGTGGGAATTCTGGCTTACTACTTGACCATTCCAGTCGTGCAAAACATCCCACACTTTGAAGCAAATGCAATTCACAGCAGAGTGCACACAAAAACCTTGGCATAGGACGGGAAGGTTCTTCTTATTTTGTAGGCTGGTTGCTGTAGAAACTTATAACAAAGGACAGCCTTCCACTTCTGGTATAATTGTGTAGACCCTTTTCTCTAGGCCTGACACCTGTCTAATAAGAGTGATTAGAGCTGAATAATGCCCCTTCCCTGACTATTGAAGTTGTGGTTCACATACTAACGGAAAACTGTACAAGTGAAGAAGGAAAATGTCTATGTTCTGTCTCTGTTTGCTACTATATTTTAAGGTTTTGTAAAACTGCATTTTTTTTTTTCACAATGTGAAACTGAAGGTCAATAAATTATTAGAGATTTTCTCTTCAATGAGTAGTTCCTTTGAGGGTTGGGTTTGTTTGTTTGCCTGCCATTTTTTTTTTTATCCTTGTAACTTGCATCTCTTTCATAAAAAGACATCCTTGATATGTAGTTTACTGGTTTGTTTTAAACTTCTGCTTCAGTTGTACTTGGACTGTTCCCTTTGCTCTATTAGGCCCCTTTATTATGATCTAGATCTCAGAGTTCAATAGGTAAAACTACAAGAGCTTTAAAACAACAAGCAGCAGGAAATGCAAGCCTTCATGATTTCTTTTGGCCTTTGAAGTACAGTTTAGGGTCTAATATGAATCTAGAACAGAATTAGACAAGTCAGATCTTCCAGCATAGTTCCTGAGGAAAAAAAGTTCCTGGATCTGTATAAAGCATTTTAAGATGTATATATTTGTATGTGTATATACACAGACGCACACACTGAGCTAAAATCTCTTATTTACACCAGCACAGCCTATGAATTTCTAAGCTTACTTTTTGTGCTATTGGTTTGGGGATCCTTTTATAAACTGAGGCCCCCATCCCACAATGAGACCCATGCATGCATACCCCAGGGTACTGCCAAGGTTTGTGGCCAATGGCCCCATTCTTCTGCCTAGGGGAGGGATAATTCTACACTTGTCAACCCATTGTGATTCCGAGGAATTCTTCCTTGGAGGTGGCAGAGGAGGGGATCACTCCCCAGTGAGAAAGAGACCAGGTGTTCTACTTCTTAACCTGCAGATCACTTGAGAGCTGCACAGCACTGAAGGATGCAAGGTGTATAGCCTTGGGCTGCTGTGTGGCTTCACTGGCTTCCACTAGTCTCTGGATAGTATAGTTGTGCTTTCCCTACCATGGTTGTTCCCAGAAATCCCCTCTAGTATGCAGGATACGCAGGAAAAGCAATGGTTTAGTGGATAGAGCACTGGGCTGGGAGTCAGGAGACCTGGGTTCTGCTACTGGTCTGCCATGTGATCTAGGGCAAGTCGTGTCACCTCACAGAAATAGAGAGGGACCATGTTCAAAAAAATTTGGTACATCATGAGTTAAAGGACTGATTCAAAGCACTGAAGTTAATGGACTCTTTCCATTGACTTCAAGGGCCTTTGGATCAGGCACTATGTGGGTATATGGCTTCACCTTTGGTACTGTGGGCTGTGTATGTATAATCACTTGTGTGAATATAATGAGACAATTACATTTAAAATCAGCCCCCAACTAATATTGCAATCTACAGTAACCTATTGTGCTTAAGAGTGCAGTGCTTTGGGTAAGACCAGAAAGAAAAAGATGCAGTTTTCCCAAATCCCCTAATCTTGCTACCAGGCTCTCACTAAATCCTGCTGCTACTCCCTGAGAGATTCAATAGCCCAGTTCTTTTTCAAGCCCTCTTTCTGCTCAGAGGCTTCTGCTGACTTACTCAGGGACACAATACATAGTAACTTATAGGACTAGGCAGAACTAACCAACATAGCTTGAGTATCCAATGCTCAGCTGTTTACAATCCATAGAGGGATGAAAACAAATTAGTCACTGGAGTAATTTTGAATAATGGAAAAAATTGAAGTAAATTGCCATCTTCTGAGATAAAAAAGGATAAAGGAATGGAGTAAATTATTCCCTGCACACTATTGCCTCGACACAGCTCTGGGTGCTGGGTTTACATCTAATCTGGTAATATGGCACTATGTACAGCTCTATGCATGGCCATGATGACTCAGAGTTGAATGCCATCAGCATCGTTTCTTGCAGCACCAAGTTGTTCTGGGGAGGACTTCCATCCAAACACTGGCTTGGCCTGACCCACTTAGCCCATGAAAGCTGAAGGGATTGCAGGGCACGGTGATTGAAATGGATTATATGAATTACCAAATGTAAATGCCAAGAATCAAGATGGTAGGCACAGTAAGAGTGAATAGGAAACACTCTTTAATAGTTGCAGGGGGTCACCATTTATTAGCATTGTGGTAGGGCTCCTTGCACTGAAATTAAGCATACCTAGATGCTCAGTCCTCAGCTAAGAAGGCCTTGAAATGCTTCCTTGGTAACATAGAATCATAGAATATAAGGGTTGGAAGGGACCCCAGAAGGTCATCTAGTCCAACCCCCTGCTCGAAGCAGGACCAATTCCCAGTTAAATCATCCCAGCCAGGGCTTTGTCAAGCCTGACCTTAAAAACCTCTAAGGAAGGAGATTCTACCACCTCCCTAGGTAACGCATTCCAGTGTTTCACCACCCTCTTAGTGAAAAAGTTTTTCCTAATATCCAATCTAAACCTCCCCCACTGCAGCTTGAGACCATTACTCCTCGTTCTGTCATCTGCTACCATTGAGAACAGTCTAGAGCCATCCTCTTTGGAACCCCCTTTCAGGTAGTTGAAAGCAGCTATCAAATCCCCCTCATTCTTCTCTTCTGCAGGCTAAACAATCCCAGCTCCCTCAGCCTCTCCTCATAACTCATGTGTTCCAGACCCCTAATCATTTTTGTTGCCCTTCGCTGGACTCTCTCCAATTTATCCACATCCTTCTTGAAGTGTGGGGCCCAAAACTGGACACAGTACTCCAGATGAGGCCTCACCAATGTCGAATAGAGGGGAATGATCACGTCCCTCGATCTGCTCGCTATGCCCCTACTTATACATCCCAAAATGCCATTGGCCTTCTTGGCAACAAGGGCACACTGCTGACTCATATCCAGCTTCTCGTCCACTGTCACCCCTAGGTCCTTTTCCGCAGAACTGCTGCCTAGCCATTCGGTCCCTAGTCTGTAGCTGTGCATTGGGTTCTTCCGTCCTATGTGCAGGACCCTGCACTTATCCTTATTGAACCTCATCAGATTTCTTTTGGCCCAATCCTCCAATTTGTCTAGGTCCTTCTGTATCCTATCCCTCCCCTCCAGCGTATCTACCACTCCTCCCAGTTTAGTATCATCCGCAAATTTGCTGAGAGTGCAATCCACACCATCCTCCATTTCATTTATGAAGATATTGAACAAAACCGGCCCCAGGACCGACCCTTGGGGCACTCCACTTGATACCGGCTGCCAACTAGACATGGAGCCATTGATAACTACCCGTTGAGCCCGACAATCTAGCCAGCTTTCTACCCACCTTATAGTGCATTCTTCCAGCCCATACTTCCTTAACTTGCTGACAAGAATACTGTGGGAGACCGTGTCAAAAGCTTTGCTAAAGTCAAGAAACAATACATCCACTGCTTTCCCTTCATCCACAGAACCAGTAATCTCATCATAGAAGGCGATTAGATTAGTCAGACATGACCTTCCCTTGGTGAATCCATGCTGGCTGTTCCTGATCACTTTCCTCTCATGCAAGTGCTTCAGGATTGATTCTTTGAGGACCTGCTCCATGATTTTTCCAGGGACTGAGGTGAGGCTGACTGGCCTGTAGTTCCCAGGATCCTCCTTCTTCCCTTTTTTAAAGATTGGCACTACATTAGCCTTTTTCCAGTCATCCGGGACTTCCCCGGTTCGCCACGAGTTTTCAAAGATAATGGCCAATGGCTCTGCAGTACATGATCAGTCCTTAGATGACTGGGGAGATTAATTGTACCTACCTCTGTCAGAGACCTCAGATAACAGTCATAGCATTTCATGTCAATGTAGTATCGCAGGATTGATGGGGGGAAGGAATGCCTTGTATCATCCTACAGGGACTCCAGGAGTAGAACGGATGGGTTCCAAAAGGAGGGTTCATACCTACTGCTTGTCCAGAAGGATAGATGCTGCAACTGGGGACCTTGAAGGTGATAAGGGGAGAGAGCCAAAGCGGAGAGAATCATGTGCACGAGAGTGTATGAAATGGCAGGATCCTCAGCGCTTTGTCTAAGCAGGTCAAGTATTTTCTTCTGTAGTTTTTAAAAATAAGGTATAATGAGGCTTTTTAATCCGTTGTGTATAGATAGTATGAATGTGTATGCGCATACTTACATAGAGAGAGACTGGAGCAGCTTGGCGCGGGGAAGCAGAGTAGGCATCAGGGAGCCAGTTAGTCTCTTTGGCCCAGATTCTCAAAGTTATTCAGGCTCCTAACTTTCATTGAAATTAATGGCAGTTAGGAGCCTAAATACCTTTGAGGATCTGGACCTTCGATTCTCTTGGTTGACCCTGCCTCCAACATGAGTTAGCACAGTTTACTCTGACTTAGATTACTGGCATAGGCTTCTGTTAGCTCTTACACCAGTGGAGGAGTGATATGGGATAGCGTGGTGTCACCATACTGTCTTTTCATCCCTATCATGTCCCCTTACTCACTCTTCCTCCTTGCCCAAATAGTGCAAAGGGGCTGGAGCAGAAATGAGAATTTATGTCTGTGTGTATGAATACGACATACGCAAACATGCATATGTATCTTATAGGTAAAGGTGACGTTTACACACAGATTTACATTGTATTTATAGGCTTGTTGTAAATGTATAAGATACGAGTTCCCTCTGTCTAAGACATACAGGTAGATGAGACCATCTGTCTGGAATGTGACTTTAATGGTGATCTATGAATTTTAAAGCATCATTATTTGTTAGAGACGGTACAGCTAGGAGTAAGAGTCAGCCTCAATATGTAAGGCATGACTATGAATTAAAATGAGTTTAGTTAAGTAAATTACAAATCTCTCGCAATCATGTTTAGGCTGTGCTTCTGGCCCAGCAGTGCTTTGAGAGTCTCAGGAAACCAAATTAGACAAAGTTTCCCTCTTTTTCTTTTTTTGGTCCGGTTTCCCTAGCAACCATAATCTTTATCTCTGAAGAGATGGGGAGCAGTGGAGGAGGGAGAGCAGTAGGAATTTCAGCTAAAACCCCTGCTAATCCTTTTCTTATGTTATCAGATTTTCGCTGTTCGGTTATTTCACACTTGCATACTAGATGGTGCTGGGGTGTGTGTTTGATATTTTGTAAAATCTAAGGCCCCTTTTATTGATCATATGCAGATCCCTTGATTCAAAGATAAAATCTATGGCTGACTGCATTTAATTTTCATAAAACTAGAGAGACAAGGTG